CCTAGCCTGCCTGACACTCCCCTCAAGGAAGCCAGAATTAGAAAACAAAATGGTTACAAAACTCCTGCTATGGCCTCTGTCAGGGACTTGGAGAGCTACTTTCCCTCTCCACATTGCAGCACCCCAAGGATGTAGTGCTGAAGATGACCTGGAGCTTAGGAAACCACTGTTATTACCACCATCTTTGCCATCATCACCATCACCACCATCATCATCATTACCACCATCACCATCGTCACCATAACCATCAACTTCAGTGTCACCACCATCACCAATATCACCATCACCATCATCATCATCACCACCATCACCATCGTCACCATCACCATCACATCATCACCATCACCATCACCATCATCACCAGCAACATCAACTTCATTGTCACCACCATCACCAATATCACCATCATCATCAATATCATGGTCATCACCATCAACACCATCATCTTCATCATCTTCATCACCATCATCATCATCAACATCATCATCACCATCACCAACATCATCCATACCATCACCCCCATCACCACCACCATAGCAATAGCAGTGGAAGCAACAGCCACTATAAAAGAAGCATAGTATCTTGAATAGAAAAAAAGGAGCTTTGTTTCAGTTATTTTATTTGGGGTGAGGTTTGGTAATGAGGACAATCTTGGGCAGAGAAGGGTGAAGAAGAGGTAAACAAAGGGAAAGAGCCCTGGACTGAGAATCTGGCTGAGCTCTGCTCTCAGCTCCCTGAGTGGCTTTGGAAAGTCACAGCTCCTGAGCCTTGATATTCTCACCTGTAAAACAGTGACCCTGACAGGGAGGGTGTTGAGAGTGAGGGCCAGTGGCCCTCTCTGAGTTCCTTTGTGACCTTCAGCTACGATGGAAAGAGATAAAAACATTACTCGGGAGCCCCATTCCTCCCAACTAAAAGCACAGTTGCAACACAACAAGAAAAAATAGGAAGTGTCTGGAAGGTGGGAAGAAGGTGACTGCCAGGGGCCATGGGACTTGTGGAGTTCCCTGAGCTTCCTTATTGTTTCCCATCTATTCCCAACAGGGTGCTGTAGAAGCCTCCATCCCCAAATCCCCAACAGGCATCGACTGAGAAAGCTCCAAGAAAGCCCATTCCCACTGGGAGAAGTATGGCCTAACCACAGAATCCCTTTTTGGAAGTATCCTCCCTACTCCAGCCAAAGGCCGATGGAAAAACCTCACACCACCTCTGTAGCTCCAGTGGGCAGAGTGGCGAGTGGATCTAACACCCCACTCTACCCCAGCCCCCCTCCTCTCCATCCCACTCCCCACCTCCAGAGGCTCCCATTCCCCTGCTGGCTGGTGTTGGAAGCACTGAGCAGGGAGCAGCTGCATCCCCATTCAGCAGAAGCAGGCGCCTCTCCAATTCCCCTTCTGGGTGGTGTTGGTGGGGTCCAGGGGTGAGAGGAGCCCCTACCCACACAGCAGCAATGAGACTGAACAAGGTGGTGTGAGCCGGGTCTAGTCAGCACTGCTTCACCCCCACGCCTGGTGTCTGCGGATTCCACTGGGGACCTGGACCTCCAGCCCCACTCAGCATTAATGAGATGGAAGGAGGTGGTGGAGGTGGGCTAGTTGACGTTCTGCCTCCCCCCTCCCTGTTGTCAGTGGGCCCAGTGGGGAGCTGAGCACTCCCCCCCACTCAGAGGCAGTGAGGCAGTGTTAGTAGGTGCCCACTTTCTCCAGCAAGGTCCAGTGGGGCACAGGGGGGAGCTGAACCTCCTCCCCACTCATCTGCAATGAGGCCATGTGAGTCAGTGCCCTCATTTCTGGGGTAGTGTCAGCGGGGCCCATCAGAAAACTAACACACCCACCCACACAGTCCTCATGCTACACCTCAACAGGGGGACACCCTACTACAAAGAGAAGATTAAATAGTATCCAGAGTCTCAGCATATTCAAAATGTCCAGGGTACAATAGAAAATCACTCATCAAACCAAGAACCAGGAAAGTCATAAACTGAATGAGAAAAGTCAATCAACAGACGTGATTGTCAGAGCAGATTGAGAGGAATCAAATGTTGGAATTATCTGGGCAAGGGTTTTAAAGGAGCCATCATAAAAATGTTTCAGCAGGTAATTATGAATTCCCTTGAAACAAGTGCAAAAATGGAAAACCTCAGCAAAGAATTACAAGTTATAAAAGAGAAACAAATGGAAATTATCGAGCTAAAAAATGCAACTGAAATAAAAAATGTGCTAGAGGGGTTCAATAGTAGAGTGAGATGACAGAGGGTAGAATCCAAGAATTTCAGGGCAGGTGAATAGAATTTACTCAATCTGAACAACAGAGAAAATAGACTGAAAAATGATGAACAAAGTATCAGGGGCCTGTGGGACAATAATAAGATTGAGAACTTCTGTATCCTCAGAGACCCAGAAGGAGAGAAAAGAGAGTGGGACCAAAGATGTATTAGAAGAAATAATAGCACAAAACTTCCCAAGTTTGGCAAAAGACATAAACCTAAAAATTCAAGAGGTTGGAAATCTCAAATAGGACAAACCCAAAGAAATCCATGCCAAGACACATCTTAATTAAACTTCTGAAAACTAAAGACAATGAAAGACTCTTGAAAGCAGCCAGAGAGAATCGACACATTACCTATAGGGGAACACCAGTTGACAACAGAGGATTTCTGATCTGAAACCATGGGGGCTGTGGAGGAGGAACTGGCACAACTTTCTTCAAGCCCAGAAAGAAAATGATTGAATATGAATTCTATATCCAGTCAAAATATCCTTCAGAGATGAAGGGGAAATAAAGACATTCTCAGATGACAGAAAACTAAGAGAATTTGTTGCTAGTAAACCTCCCCTTAAAGAACAGCTAAAGGAAGTTCTCTAAAGAGAAAGGAAATAACAGCAGGTGGAGGCTCGGAACTTCAGAGGGGAAAAGGAGCACCAGATTGGGTAAAAATAGGGGCAACCATATTAGACTATTCTCATGAGTTTCTTAAATCATTTGATGGTTGAAGGAAAAATCGTAACACCCACTGAGGTTGTGCTCAACACACGTGGAGGAAACGCTTGACAATTCTATTTTAAAAGTTGGGAGAGTAAAGGGGCCTAAATAGAAATAAGATTTATACACTTCACTCCAAGTGGTAAAATGTCAATACTGGTGAATTGTGACATTTACCTGGAGCAATCGCTAAGAAATCAATAGAAAGCAAGAGGCTCAAAAATCCTATTGATGGATCAGGATGGAATCCTAAAAAATGTTTAAGTAACCTACAGGAAGGTAAGAAAAGAGAAACAGGAATGAGGAAAGAGAGGAAACAAACAGAAAATAATTAAATGGCCGTCTTAAGACAGAACATATTATCTTAAATGTAAATAGTCTAAATACACCAGTTAAAAGGCAGAGATTGGTACTGTGGGTTAAAAACAATGACCCATTCCATCCAAAAACTGCAGAATACACATTCTTTTTGAATGCACATGGAACATTCTCCAGGATAGATCACACATTAGGCCACAAAACAAGCCTCAATAAATTTAAGAGGATTGAAATAATACGAAGCATCTTTTCTGACCACATCGGTATGAAACTAGAAATCAACTACAAGAAGAAAACAGGAAAAGCCACAAATATGTGGAGATTAAACAAAATGCTACTGAACTACTATTGGGCCGATGAAGAAATCAAAGGAGAAATCAAAAAAAATACCTGGATACAAATGAAAATGAAATTAAGACATGCCAAAATTTATGGGGTACAGCAAAAGGGGTACTAAGAGGGAAGTTTATAGCAATACAGGCCTACCTCAACAAACAAGAAAAAACTCAAATAAACAATCTAACAATGCACCTAAAGGAATTAGAAAAAGAAGAACAAACAAAGCCCCAAATCAGTAGCAGGAGGGAAATAATAAAAATCAGAAAGGAAATAAATGAAATAGAGAGTAAAAAACAAAAACAAAAAAAAACAATAATGACCCAACTATCTACTGTCTTCAAATGCACTATATGCTCACTTCAAGTATGATACGGGTAGGTTGAAAGTAAAAGGATGGGAAAAGATGGGCCCTGCAGACATTGAACACACACACACGTTTAGATAGACAGGTTTTTTTCATTCAAGCTAGATTTTTGTTGTCCTTTCTTTAGATTTTCCCTCTCCCACCCCACTTCCCTCCCCTGCACTATCTCTCATTCCCTCCTTTCCCCCACAGCCCTGCAACACACACATTCTCTTATGTGTGAATGTGCAAGTGCGCACAGATACACATGGGAAAATGTCATTTTCTTTACCAAGAAAAGGGGAATCCTTTTATAAAGACTTCTCTGTATTTTCCATTTCTCTCCCAATAATATTTTGGGAGAATTCTACCAAGTCAATGTGGAGAAATTCCCTTTATGCATAATTCATTCAACCATTACCTCAGTGATGGCCATGAACTTTGTCCCCAGTACTTTACCCCCAAACAATGCTATAAGCATCTTTGAGAGTGAAAATAAACAGCAACATCACATTAATCAAGTAGAGGCATTGATTCTTGACATCCCTGGAGCAGGACCCTTAGGGAGCCCTAAACAGACGGTGATTCCTGCTCCTACCCGTGCCCATCCGCCCAGGACCAGGCTCCATCCTGCTCAGCTGCCCGGCCCCAGAAAAGCCGAGCGAGAGCCCTATTGTGCTAAGGACCCACCCAGCTGAGGGTTTGTTGATCCTCTAAACAGGGCAGTGTTCCTGGTTGTTCCTGATGCCCGCCCCCGGCTGACTCTGTCTCAGACTTAACACGCGTGTTTAAAATGCAGATTCCAGGGCTCTGCCAAATCAAGCTCCAAGCATGAGGGCTGGGCCCTGCTTTTGGTACAAACTCTGCAGAGGGACATGGCCCATGGCCTCAACTCATAACCCAGGGCTCTCTCAGAAGAAAGAGAGGAGGGGGGACAAAACCACTTGAAAGAGACTCACCACCAGGGTCAGAAATTATTCTGGAGCCACCATGAATGAACCGAGCCAACACAGCCAAAGACGGCACCGTTTTGTCTTTTATTGACATCCTGCCAATGCTGAGGGGCGAGCTCACTCCCCGTGGGGGCCGCCCCATGTGCAGCGCCCCTCAGAAGCATCTTCTCTGAACCACGGATGCCCCAAACTCCTTGAAATCTGCAGAGGTGACCCACATCTGCTTGAAGCTGCTCAGGGAGGTGACGATGGAGGCGCCAATCCACGTGGAGAACCACCTGTCGGGAGGAGCCGTGATCTTGATGGGAGTCCCTTTGGCAGCCAGCTGCTCCAGCTCCCTCAGAAGCCGGTCATCAAGCCCGTGGAAGAGAGTGGTGCCCCCGGACAGCACGATCTCCCCAAAGAGTGTCTTCTGGATGTCAGCGTCACACTTGGTGATGCTGCAGGAGACCATCTTGGACAGGCCTGGGTTCTGGATGCCCAGCTGGTCGGGTGCAAACAGGGCCTCAGGCGCCTGGTACAGCTGGTCCCCGATGCAGATAATGCTGCCGTCCGGCAGCTTGTACTCCCTCAGGACCTCCTCAGGCCTCCGGGAGAGCTCCTTCTCCGGCTCCAGGGCCACGTAGCACAGCTTCTCCTTGATGTCGTCCACCAGGGCCTTGTCCAGCACACACGGGAAGGTCCGCCCGCTGGCCAGCAGTAGCCGGGTGAGGTGCTCCGTGATATCCCTCCCCGCCACGTAGAGCTTGGTGACCGCGTGGGGCAGGGAGTACCCCTCGAAGATGGGGACAATGCAAGTGACCCCATCTCCGCTGTCCACCACCAGGCCCGTGACACAGGCCGAGGCGTAGAGGGCCAGCACGGCCTGGTCCGAAAGGTAGAAGGCAGGCACGTTGAAGGTCTCAAACATCACCTCGGCCATCTTCTCCCGGGTCTCCCGTGGGTTCAGGGAGGGCTCGGTCATGAGCACCGGCCGGTCGCTGGCCTTTACTCCCAATTCCCACTCGTAGAGGTGCTTCCAGAGTCTCTCCATGTCTTCCCAGCCTGTGACCAGGCCCCGCTCGATGGGGTAGCACAACTGCAAGACCTCACCCTTGTGCAGGGCTTCTTCCCCCACAAAGTACTTCTTCTGATTGGCTCCCGCTGAAGGCATCTTGAATTTCGGGTGCCCCACGACGGAGCTGATGACGTGGCGGGGTCCAATCTCTCCAGACAGGCCTGCTTTGCAGAGCCCGGACCCATTGTCGAAAATCACAGCTGGAGAATCCAACACGTGTGGATTGAACATGTCTGCAGCATCCTCTTCTGCGCTTCACCAAAACAAAGACGGAACCCTCTTGGGCCACTTTGTGACACAAGAGACTCCTCTGGAAGTTTAAGGGCGCAGGATTCCACGGTTCTCGGGGTGTCTCCCAGGCAGGGCTAGCAGACGGCCAGTCCTCGAGAGCCCTCCATCCTCACCCGCAGATCTGCTCTTCTCTCAGGTGGCCCGGGCCACAGAGGCCTTTTCAGGGATGACCGTCCCGTGTGTAACAATCCAGCCGAGGCAACGATTGTCCTCAGCCAGCCTCAGAGGGCCTTCAGGGGCTGGGGGGCTGGAGCCCCTGCGCTCCCTACCTGGAGAGACTGCAAACAGAGGAAGGCAAGCCATCCCCGCGGCAGTGTTGATGGGCCTGTGGACCTAGCCTTAGACTGGACTGGAGCAGCCCAGCCTGGGCCTGCCTGGGGAACTTGTGTCTCTCACGCACTGAGCTGCTGTTTTGTGTTTTGACAAAAACACACTTCCCTTTGCTGGGGGGATGACCAAGCACCAGGCACAGGTCCAGCCCCGTCACAGCAGGCACTCAGAACGTTCTTTTTGAATGCAGACTTCTCCAGGAAGCCTTCAGGGACTTCTCTTCCATTTACCCCATGAGCCTTGGCTCTCTGTCCCACAGGGTAGAGCTAAGCAAAGCCCTCTGGGCCTGCTGGCTCTCTCTCCAGGTGCAAGTCCCTGCTCTGGCTTGAGGTCAGAGCCCCTCCTTGCTCTCTGTGGCCCCAGAAATGCTGGCACAGAGCAACGTCTAGTGGCCCATGGGATTGGGAACCCAACAGCCTGTGAAGACGGGTGTTTGAGGCTTCATGAGCTGGGCAGCCCTGATCAGAGCCTGGGGCATCTCTTTCTGTGGGCCGTCAAACAGCCGGCCAAGTCCACTGAAGCACGTTCAGAAATGACCAGCTCATCTAGGCTGAGGCCGAGGGCAAGGCTGGGCAGCAGCGAGGCTACGGGTTTAGCCCGAGTCCACGAGGGGCCAGGAGGAGAGGTGCCCACTCCAGCCTCCTGGAGAGCCCATGCTAGCAGCACCAGGTGTGCAGACCACTGTGGGGACTTCTAAGACTGGGGAGTCCAACGTTGAGGGGAGTGTGTGTCCCTGGCGGGCTGCTGTGAGGGGTGGGGATGGTCAGCAGAACGCTGTGTATTAGGGATTCCAGCCTGCTTACATCACGAAAGGCCTGTGTACTCGGGTTCTCAGGCTTTGCTAGAATTTTCTCTTTGTTGCCAAACACTCTGGGCTGAATCTGGAGGAATGTGCTCTCAAGGTTTCTAGATTTTGGCCCTAAAACTGGCCCACATGGGAGGTGATGAATGATGCTGAGTGGCGAGGACTGTGGGTCAGTTTCAAACGCCTGGTCGGGCACACGGGCTTGTCCTGGGGGTCTAGGGCTAGCTGGGCATTTGGCATTTGCAGGAGGGACAGAGAAGGAGAAAAGGACAAACGCTCACACAAACCTTAGACTGACCAGTTGGGTGCGGGGGTGTTCTGACCACTCTGCAACCCAGTGATGTAACAATACACAGAAGCAGTGTCCAGGGGCCAGTGGCCTCTGACCTACATGCAGGTCACACAAGCACACCCCTCCACCCCGCCATCCCCAGGCCCAGCTTCCTCATCGGTCTCCAAGTTAGCTCTGGGGCACTTCCAACCCATAACTTGGCAGTTCTTCATCCCTGCCAAGGGCTGTGAAAGCCGGGCTGGCCACTGGGGCATTGGCCCTGAGCAAAGCCATCCGAGTATTTCCAGGACCCCTTTTCCTAAGTGTTTTTACTCTCCTCGCTGAGCCTGGGAGACCTGCTGCCCTTTGCCCCGGGTCTGGGCCCCCCAGCCCCGCCTGACAACCAGAGACAGTTGTGGCATTTGGGTGCCACTCGCTGTGCAGAGCAGGTTCTGGGGAGCATCACCACTTTGCTCTTCTCTGTCCACTCGAGAGAAAGGATTCCCCAGCCAGAATGCGCCTTCCTTGCTCACCATTTGGGACTCCAACACGGGAAGGAGGCCAGCTCCTCAGTCGTCATTTCTGGGTTTGCTGTCGGAGCCAGGCTCGTGACAGCTTCTGTCCCCACCATCAAGTGATCTGGCTGACAGGGTGTCACCACACGGAGAGAAGCAGGGAGGTTCTGAAGACCCCGCCATCAAGAAGTGGGATACTGTCGTGGCGGGGGCGAGGGCGGGGGGTCATCACGTGGGCCACTGAGAAAACCGAGTGGGTTTATGAGCCACGGCCTACGTGAGGTTGTGTTGGTTTCGAGCTCCCCTCAGGGCAGAAATTCCACCCCGTGCTCTCAGGCTCCTGGGACCTCCTCCACAGCCCTCCTTCCTCCTCCAGTCTGACGTCCGTCGCAGAAACGCCTCCATCCCTCCGACCACCTGGGTCCGTACATCTCGGAGGAGCCACATGTATCTCAGTGCCGGTGTCCACACCGACGTCCACAGGTGTCCTTGCTGCTTCAGTGGATGCGATGTTTGGCAGGACAGAAATGCCATAGCTGAGCACTCGTGGCAAAGGTTGTGTTTGCTATTAACACAAGGACATTACCTCTCTCCCAACTCCAATTAGAAGTTCCGAGGCTGCCCTGCCCCCTCCGGTGCCGGCCATGCCTCATAAATCGCTTGAACAAGTTTATGGGTGAACTGGCTGTAACTCCAGCTCCCTGCGCAGGGCAAGTCTCACCACCATGATTACTCTGGGGGGCATGCATTTCCATCTTCCACAGGAAGGCTCGCTCTTAGTTCTGCTCAGCAGTCACGCCCAGCAGAGCCCGCTCCAGCTCCCACACGGCTCCCGACCTCCCGTGCCCTTGGAGGAGCCTCAGCCCGTCACGGGAGGTGGACAGCCAGTGGTCAGCCTTGGGAAGCTGCCAGGCATTTGGACTTGGGAGTGGCCGGCCTGGGTCTGCTGGGCACCCCTGCTTCCTGCTGCTCCCGTTCAGATTGCCTGGGCCACCCAATCCCTGGGCCAGGGGCCGCCCTGTCTGTCCTGTCATCCCTGGTTCCATCTGTCACTGGAGCCCAGAGCCTCAGTCAATTAGTGACCAGCAGACTGGGCTCATTAGTGCTGGCTGACATCTGGCGGCCAGACCCTGCTTGCTGAGGGCTTGGTTCAATGTCGGCCGGCAGCTTGAAGGAACGGGGTGACTCTACAGATGGCAAGATGGACATTGCTCATGCAAGAGAGAGAATAGTGTATGTGTCTGAGGGAGCTTATGAGAGTCCAGGGGCCGTGGTGCTTGCAGGATGCCCCCAGTAATGGCTTCTTTTCCACCTCTCAGCCCTAGTCATCCCCAGAGGAGCCCAAAGCCCTGAGCACCCTTTCTGGTAGCCTAGTCCTTTTGAATCTCTGAGATGGAACTTGTATCACCTACCCACTCATCTACTCATTCTTTCATTCATCCACTCCTTCTTCCACTCATCACCTACCCATCCATCCATCCATCCACCCATCCATCCATCCATTCACCCATCCACACACCCACACATCCATCCATCCACCAACTCATCCACCCACCCACCCGACTATTCATCCACCCATCCTCCCATCCTCTCATCCATCCATCCATGCAACCATTCATCTGTCCACCCACTCATCCATCCACCCACTCACCCATCCATCTATCCATCCATCCATCCACTCATCCATCCATCCATCCACCCATCCATGCACCCATCTACCCATCCATCCATGCACCCATCCACCCATCCATCCATC